CCACTTTGATCTTCTTCATACGGTCAGCAGTGAAGGACCACGTCTCAGATTCAAATGTCATCACTGACAACGAGCAGTGGTTGTACACTAATTACGTCTTTATGTGAAAGTGGTTTTAGGTATGACGCAAACCAGTGTTTTTTACTAATTATAAGCAGGTTTTTGTGTACTATAATTCTAGCTGGTGGTAAGTGGTGAATCCCTAGATTTTAGATCGCACTGTCTTAGTATAACAAAAGCCTGTTCACTTATTTTTCCGATTAAAATCGAACGGGAAAACAGTCATCGACAGATAATTTCACGCCTTTGCTTAACGTACTACGACAGACTAAGCAAACTGTTTGGTTCGAATTCGTAGGATATCAACAACAAAGGGTTAAAGATCCACCGGCCAACTTAGCTGTTGGATGGTGGAAAGGAGAGGGAGAAATTAAAACATTCAATTACTATGTACATTTTTCGAAATGCATTCAATAGAATACTGAGAGACTGGCTACTCTACACCTGTGCTCGAGACTGACAAGATCGGTTTCAACTGAATCAAGATTATCAGTAAGCCTTTTTTTTTACATCTTTTTACTGAGTTCAATGCAGCAACGTGAAATTAAGCAGCACTAGCCAACAGTTTTTTTTTTTTTTACTTATTTAAGATATGATAACAAAGACAGATAGTTTTATTGTAAACATAAACTTATTAGAGTTTTTCCGTACACCATTGCTGTCAACACTATGTTTTTTTGTTATTCTAATTAAAACATTACCGAAGTTAAATTTAATATTATTATCAACTAAAATTAGGTGCATTATATATTATGTATGTATTTTACAAACTACTTGTGTGTATATAAATAAAGAATAGTTGTAGGCAATGGGCGTAATATAACGTAGTAAAACTTGTTACATTTTGTAGTATGTTTCACAATAGTTGTGATACAGAATGATTATCTCGTGTATTTTCATAAATTTATAATAACATAATATAATCGTAATGTAAAGCAATAACATAGAACGAGAAGTTCGTTTAAGTGTAACTAGTATTCAGTAAGAGTTAACTGAATATAACATTTTTTTATCATATCTCATCTCAAATACCCTTACTATGCTCAATAAAAACGACTAGAATGTGCTTTTTTACTGTCAACATGCGTGTACAAACTATCGGTGAATGTAGAAAAGTAGTTGCGAGGTATTCTTTTGAGGTTAGAAACCATATGTTGTTTGATAGTTAATATATTATTCCTTTCATAAAACCTGTGGATTTGTCAGCTTATTTATTTTTTGACTATTTTGTCTATGGTAGGTAATATGATTATTGGTCTATAATTCGTTGACGGGCATGCCATGCTAGAATTTTACCACTAGCGCGATCTAGTATCGAGTGGCAGAACTAGAAGAGAACTTTCTGCACTTAGCCGGTTGGGACCGCTATGTGTTCGAATATTCTAGATGTTTTAAGAGCAAAATAAATCTTCATTTAATTTAATTTAATTTCAATTCATTTCATTTCATTTCAGTGGAAAGGCCTATATCAAGCCAGTAAACACCGTGACCTTCGAATACTTCGAAGCGATATAACTGTAAACTGAAGTATTCGGTGTGATTAATTATTAGTGTTTTAAGTTGAAGTTGGTCTTCGGTAATTAAAGTGTCAATTTTGGTAATTCAATCGGTAGTTTTAAGCTATTGCATAGCTTCTATCGCGGGCCTTGAGCGCGGGGACCGAATCCAGAAATTCCGTAACGAAAAAACCTCACGCTCCCCACTCCGACGGGCATGGAGGTGTGGCGTTGAAAGCCGTGCATCACCTAACGTCGTTTCAGTTCGGCAGACTTCGGCACTCGGCAGATTTCGGCACGGTGTTTGTGTGCGTGCGACTAGACGTATGCGTGTACACTAGCTGCTAACTCAATGATAAAAATTCCTGAATAACTTACATGTATTGTAAGATATTAAAAATATTTTAAACAATATTAACTTCTCATTTATTCAATAAGAGAAAAAAAATTGTTTTCTTATCGGTCACCACGCTCAAAAAGTGTAACTTAATTTAATATCAAAGACTTAACTGCATAAATAAAATAAATAAATAATTATAATTGCATAAGTTGATAAAAATTCTATGCAATAGCTTTACCGCGGCAGTCACCGAGTGCCACACGTATTTTTTATTGTCATGAAACCTAAGCTCGTCACAATTGGTGTCAGAAGTTGGATAACATTACGCCAATTTTACCTAAGGACGACACGGAGAGTGTATACATATCCAAAGTCAACGCCTGCAGGAGACGGATCAGAGACGATTCGGTGGTGCAACGCCACAAACATCGAAGGGCCACGGAGGCCGGCAGCTGGCCCTCCGATGTTACTACATCTGCAGCACCTAACTAAGGTGATCTGATGATGATGCTACAGGAACAGCCCCGTCGGTTAGAAGATCAGTAGGTAGAACAGGCCCACCGAAAGGAAGAACAGGCCCGTCGGTTGGAAGATCAACAGACAAGCAGCTGCGGGGCAGACAGGAGGAATAGGCCCGATGGTTGGAAGAGCAGATACTCCTCATGAAGGACCTTCACGCCACCTTCAAGAAAGAGATAAGAGAGGTGAAGGATATGGTTGCTCAACATGAAAACCGCCAGTTGGAAGCAGTGATCCGAATGGGGCAAGTGAATGATCGAGTTGACAGAGTGATGGCTGATATGAAGAAAACGCTGGACAACCTCAAACTTGGGAATGGAACAACAGCTCTCGTGGTAGCTACAACACCTTGGCTACGTGAATTCAAAGTGCAACCGTTTGACGGGACTTCTTTCTTGTCGGCCTACAAAATCCAGTTCGAATCTGTCATGAAGGCGAACAGCTGGAATAAAATTCAGGCCATGACTGCTCTCACACTAGGCCTGCGCGACTAGGCTTCAAGTGTTCTGGAAGCTCTCTGTAAGGAATTGACTTACGAGCAGCTCCTTTAAGCATCAGAGACGAGATTTGGCGAAGCTCACCTGGATCACGTCTTTCATGAGCAGCTTAAAGATCGCTCGCAACACATCAATGAAAACCCGCAGCAGTGGGCCCATGAGGTGGAGAAGCAGGTTCGAAAAGCATACCGGTCTGTACCTGTGCTCATTAAAGGGAATCTGGTGCAGACATTCAACGACGGCATCCGCGACATTGAGGTCAGAGCTGTTGTGCGGCTCGGGCACCACGATACGCTTAAAATTCCTTTGTACATGCACTGGAGGTAGAAACCTAGTTTAGCAGTGTTTAGTTTCACACACTCTGTCTTAGTTATATTATTAGTATTATCATTTCCTATTTTTGACGTGACGTGTTTGACGATTGCTCTTGAGTTCAAAGTCACTGGCAGAATATCAGCGCTGTGAATATTATACTACAGACAATGTTGAGTCGGGTGTTTATTTGTTGCTGTGATAATGATGATGTTATATTATACACATGATGCAACTTGAAATAAAGATATTTATTTCTTACCTATTTTCTCTTTCAAAAACGAATTAACACTCCATCTGGCGGTATGTGTCCAGTGCGGCCTATAGTTGTAACCAACTATGAACAAAGAAATACACAAAAGTGTTGTTAACCATGAGTGTTTAGATGAAGTATCTTAACTATAATTAAACTGACTCTCTTCCTTTATAAATGAGAAACACCTCTAAATAATTCAACGAATACCAACACGATGATATTAAAAAGACAAAAAACTGCACCTGCAGATATTTTAATTTATTTTCATAAAATTTGATTTTTATGACATATTTTTCGTGCGTAAAAATATAACGTAACAATTAGAAAAGAAAGTGAAATAATACCATGTAAATATACAAAGGACTCTGAATATATCCCCCTGTTTTGCATTACATATAATATACTTGGATGACAGGCAACAGGCATTGTCTTTAATAGGTGTTTACCAACAACTTTTTAAAAAGAAACTTATTGGGTATTTTCTTGATGTCATCGAGCAAGGAGTTCCAAAAACTTTTAGGCGGAACTGTGAAGGAATTGATATAACTCAGTGAAATGATCAGGAATACAGATTTTGTTGTAAGAATCACATACAACTCTAATGTGCTAGTTCACCCAAAAATACGTTAGCTTACCACGGTTACGGACAGGTCTGTCTAGAACGACAAACCTGAATAATATTACTAATATACATAATATTCATGATATACATTATTAGTATTATGTATACTCATAATGTATATCATGAATATTATGGCTATTAATCAAAGCTATAAAGCGTTCGAAACACTGGGGAACTAAATATAAGTACAAAAAAAAAACATGTTTAACGTGGTAGAGCTATGTTGCAGCTTTAATTGTATAGTTGTAGCGCAAATGGGTCAGTTTGACCACGGAAGAACCACACTCTCACAGAATACAAGCGTAAAATAACGGCTTAATGTTGCTGTGTTTCGTATGGTGAGTGAAAAGAACCGGAGGCCCCTTTTACTGGAAAAAAAGGCATTCCATCTTAGTACCTACTCGCGGCTGACAACGCATGTGGATTCGCCATCGAGATGTGATGTATACGTGCTACAGCAACAACTTTCCATCCGGTGGACGGTGTGCTCAATTTTCACTATTATCCTATAAAAAAATAATATGCAATGAAATCCATAATATAATAATTTTATTTTTATTAATACAATCAGTCGGAAATAATTTTACTACATTTAATATTAAATTTTTAATATTGCATATTAAAGAATAAAAGAAAGAAAGAAAAAATATTTATTTTTGACACACACAAGGCACCAGAACACAGAAACAATCAAAACAAAAAAGTAACAATTTATGAACAAACAAACAGCCAGTTAAAATTAGAGAAAAAAAATTATACATAATATATATTCTTAAAACTAGTGCCTCAGGGTGATGCCAAAAGATAGCAACCAATTCAGCATTATATCAGGTTAGAAACCTAACGCTGATTTTCTATTGGCCCCCTAAATTGCACTCGTCTTCACCTCCGGAACCAGTTACCGTCCTTCCGCAAGAACAATCAGTATACGTGAACTCTATGAAAAAAAAACATATATAATTACTTATGTAATAAACGATTAATAAAATATGTATATAATATATGACAGGATCGAATTAAATACTTTATTATTAGCAAGATACTGCGCGTGAAACTGTAACAACATAATAACATCAGCAAAAAAATAAAATAAATTAAAATCACGTCACATACATCCAACTACTCCTATATAATTCACATATATGTTAATTATCAGTCAAAACGTGGATTGTTGTTTTAGGTCAAATCGATATTACCCTCATTTAATATACGAGTAGGTACTTTAATGGCGTACAATGTCCCTTAATTATGTTGTTTTTCGGTGACGTTCCTGCTGTAGCTTTATCGGACTTAATTTTGTAAATTTCATTGAAACGTGCCTTTATTTTGAGTTTATTTATTTAATATTTATTGTAAACACCAGAGAAAAATGGGGGATTTAATGCAATTTAGTCAACCCTGGTTGAAAATATGGCACTTCCTAACAATAACTAACTAAGACTTAATTCATTATGGAATGTCGCAATATAAGCGGATGGTGAAGAAAATTTTATTTAAAAAAATCAAATATTCGTGTCCCCCGGGTGGTGCTTAATGAGCGACAACCCGATAGCACAGACTCGGCTCCTCGCCGTGATAGCGGCGTAAAATATACCACCCCATATTTCGTACATGAGGCACCACCTAAAAGAAATGGCTCCGAATTCCCGGCGTCCCTTTAATGGGGCAGGGGTGCGAAGAATCTCCGGAAGGAAAACCGGCGACGAGGTTCGCCACCCGTCACGTTCTGTCTCCCGGTGGGGCGAAAAGTGGTTTGCAGAGGTCCGTCTGGCTAAGTTGAATGTATGTGGAGCAATTAATGATAAAATGTCATTCATTTTATATGAGATATGATGTTGATAGAGGAATAGATGTGTTATGTGTAAATGAGACGAAACGGAAGGGGAAGAATTTCACTACACATGGCATGTATACCGCATACTGGTCTGGTGTAGACGAGATCGAGCGGGCATGCCAGGGAGTATGTATCATCCTTTCAGGAAGAATGGGCCAATGTGTGAAAGAGTGTGAATGTGTAAGCCCAAGACAAGAAGAGTGCTTATGAAAGGATATTGGGAACGTTTGGTGATAAAAGTATAAATGAGAATGGTGAAAGCCTCCTTAACGTATGTTTGAAAAATAATCTTTTTTGTGACAAACACTTCTTTCGCCACAAGAGGATTCACATGTATACTTGGGAAAGGAGTCATGATAGAAGCATGATAGATTACATAATTGTGGATGAAAGGATGAGGGTCGCAGTGGTAGATACAAGGGTTTACCGGGGGTCTATCGTAGGGAAGGATCATTATTTGGTTTTATGCCGAATTAATGGTCAGACACAGATGACATATGGTGCCAATTCAGACGTTGGCGCCATCGGTCATCTGTGTCTACCACTGTTCCAGCGTATTAGAACAGAAAGGTTACAAGATGAAGGTGAGAAAAACGAGTACAAATGTAGACTGAAAGAAAATATTTTTTTTATTTGGATCAATTAAGTATGAATGAGTTATACTTGTGGAGAATGTGTGGAAAAATGTTAAGAAAGGTTTAATGGGTGCAGCTACCGAAGTATGTGGTGTTAGTATGAAAAAGAATGAAAGGAAAAATAATACGTTATGGTGGGATGGTGAGGTACGTATGAAATTTCAAGCAAAGAAGAGAGCATGGCTTGATAACGATTTATTATATTTACGCGAACACTACACATTGAAATAATACTAGTTTTACGGATTTTTTGGCGTATATTTAACTTTTTAAATACCCGACGTTCCGAGAGCTTTACAGCACCCATGGTCACGGGAGGGACTGAGATGTCCAACGTCCAGATGTCATAGCTAACCGTGGTTATCATAGATAAAAATTTAACTTTTGTTCCGATCTACACAGTATGAACTTATGGTATCTTGAAGTCTTGCAGTTGTATGCTTGGGTTGGGATTTAATTTTATTTATTATAGGATCCCAAGCAGATGGTAGCAACCAGCCATCTTCTCTATTGAAATTAGGATGTTTTTTGATTTCAATAGCCTCGCGAATCATCCTTGGAAGGAATCGGTGTTCTTTAGCGAGGATTTGTGGTCTATCAAATCTGATGTAGGGATAGGGGCGATCCTGTACGTGTTCACAGGTAGAATTGTGAAAGTGTCTACCTTTAGATAAAGTTACTGCATTTTTAGACAATCTTAACTCTATAAATTCTAAAATTCACTTCAAAATAGAGTTAGAGGCAAACAATTCTTTAGCTTTTCGAGATGTGTTAGTAATTCGAAATCCTGATAACACCTTGAGCCATACTGTGTATAAAAAAAGACCCATACAGATAGATATTTAAACGGTGATTCTCACCACAATCATTCACAGTAAGCTACCGTGGGTAAATTTTTGTTTCAGAGAGCACTAGCGATCTGTGACAGTAGGCACCTGACTGCCGAGCTCCACCATGTCAAGCAAGTTTTGCATGACAACAAGCTTCGGGTCCCGCGCCTGCGTCACAGTGAACGAGTGAAGCCGGCCACAGTCGAGCGTGTACCTGCTGTACTGCCCTATGTTAGAGGAGTCACTGACAAGATTGGCTACATCTTGAAATGCGCTTCCAACAAAACATACTTCAAACCGCCGAAGAAGATTGATCAGTTTTTACCATCAGTCAAGTGTATCGTCCCTCTGCAAGATGCAGGAGTGTACAAGCTTGATTGTGAATACGTTCTCTTCTACATAGGACAAACTAAAATATCAATCAAAACCCGCGTTAAAGAACATATAGCTGATGTGAAGAATCGACGCTCCAGGGAGTCTGCAGTCTGTGAACACGTACAGGATCGCCCCCGTCACTATATCAGATTTGATAGACCACAAATCATCTCTAAAGAACACCGATTCCTTCCAAGGATGATTCGCAAGGCTATTGAAATCAAAAAACATCCTAATTTCAATAGAGAAGATGGCTGGGTGCTACCATCTGCTCGGGATCCTATAATAAATAAAATTAAATCCCAACCCAAGCATACAACTGCAAGACTTTAAGATACCATAAGTTCATACTGTGTAGATCGAAACAAAAGTTAAATTTTAATCTATGGTAACCACGGTTAACTATGACATCTAAGCGTTGAACATCTCAGTCCCCCCCCCCCCGTGACAATGGGTGCTGTAAAGCTTTCGGAACGTCGGGTATTTAAAAAGTTAAATATACGCGGGAAATTCCGTAAAAGTAGTATTATTTCAATGAGCATGGCTAGATTTACTAGCAACAAACACTTGTAATTCTAGTGCTACAAATGATAATATTGAAAGAAAAAATGGAAGTCTTTAGACATCTAAATAAGAGAATAAAAAAGTAGTTGAAAGGAAAATGCAAAAAAGAAAGGATAAGAATGATAGAAGGATATCGGATAACTTCCAGGCAAATATTAAAATGTTCTGAAAACTCGTAAGAACTGCCAGGGGACATTCAAAACAGTCTATAATAAATGCTATAAGAGATGGGAATAGCGATATTCTGAATGATGAAGTTTTGAGTTTAAGCAGATAGAAGGAATATTTTGAAAGCGTGTTTATGAGTGAGGAGACGACATACGAACTTATTAAAATAGAAACTCCGAAAGAAGAGGAAAGAGGTAGCGAGACAAGTATAAATGAAATAATAAAGCAATGAAAAGCATGGAAACGGGTAAAGCTGCCGGATATGATAGCGTTTCACTCGAAATTCTAAGGGCTGGAGAGTAAGTGGTGGCAGGCCTGCTGCACACCCTGTTTAATTTATGCAGGGACTGAAGCGGGTACCGGTAGACTGGTGCAAAGCCGTGATAATCCCAATATATAAAGGAAAAGGGTCGCAGCGGGACTGTAAAAACTACCGTGGTACCAGCTTTCTTAGCATTGTTGGAAAACTGTATGCTAAGGTACAAATTAAAAGGGTCATGAAAGAAACTGATGGAAAAATTTGGGATGTGCAAGCAAGATTTGGAAAGGGATAGGGATGTACAGATCAAGCCTTTTCCATGCGCACGATCTCGGAAAAGTTTTTGGCCAAAAACCAAATAGTTTTTGTGCGTTCATGGACTTGGAAAAGGCCTATGAGAGAGTGGAAAGGGATGTGCTTCGGCAAACACTGAACTCATTTGGGTTGAGCACTGGCTTAATACAGGCATTGGAGTTTCTTTATAGGGACTCTAGTACTTGTGTAAGGACAAACGGGGTCTACTCGGACTCGTTTGGCAACCATAAAGGTGTCAGACAAGGCAGTGTGGCTTTTCCGTGGTTGTTAAATCTATTTATGGACAGTTGTTTGGAAAATTTGAAAGTTGAAGAATGCGGATTAAGAATGGGTGAGTTAACCGTCAAATGCCTCTTGTACGCCGATGATCAAGTCATATTTACGTCGTTGGCGGCCGAGTTTCAAATGATGGTTACATTAATGAACAGATCATTAAAAGAATGAGGTATGAAAGTAAACGCAAGTAAGACGAAAGTTATGGTTTTTGAAAGAAAAGAAAGTAAGACATGTGTAATAAGAATAGAAGTGGAGTTCATCGAGCAAGTAGATAAGTTTGTATATTTGCGTTGTGTATATATAAGGATATACAACATACCACCAGTATTTATAGTTAATTGCGCAGCGGCTCTTTATGTACCTCTATGTATTTTATATAATAGATCTTTAAAAGAAGGAAGCCTCCCAATACTATGGAAGCAAGCACATATAATACCTATACTATAATACCTACACAAAAAAGGACAGAAAAACAAAATCGAAAACTATAGACCAATCTCAATATTAAATACCTTTACTAAAGTTTTAGAGAAAATAGTATTAATAACGTGTATCCACTATTGATACCTTCCATTCCACCCGAACAACACGGCTTCGTTAAAGGTCGCTCGAAAACTACCAATCTATGTATATTTATGAATGACGTCCTACGTGGGATGGACGGAGGTTTGCAAGGTGATG